GCAGCAGCAGCGGTCCCAGCCTGCAGGACGGTTTTCGGAGCCCGGCTGACAAACCATAAACTAGGCAGGGAGCTTTTGGGACTTTCATTCACAGTCACTTTTCACTCCAAATTAGAAGTATTTTGTTCTTGAAAACATCTAGAAATCGACTGGAGTTTCCCTGGAGAGCTGTTGGTGCCCGCAGCTGGTGGAGCTGCCCTTCCCTTAGTCCCCTTGGGGCCCTCCCAGTGACTTAGGGGCGATTTGCAGAATAGTTCCTGAGCAATTTATTTGACTACTTAAAAACGATTTACAAAGTATTTCCTGGACAGTTTATTTGAGATTTTGTTATGTTTTCCAACTTGCCGTCTTTGGAGTGGAACATTTAACAGTGATTTCTCTAACATTGGTAGCTGGTAATTTGACAGGTCCCTGTAGCTGAGGAAAACCTTTCTCCATAAGCTGTTATTCTAAGAGTTTCCAGTAGTTGGTGCATGAGGCTCAAATGAATCAATCGCAGACAATTTCAGTGTGCTCTGCATGCTTTGCAACATATGGCTTCTGTCTTTTGCATCTAATTTGCATCTAGTTGTTTATTCATAACTCCCCCCTTTAGCAGTACAATGCAGAAATGCCAAACTGTGTGGAAGCACCTTACCATGGAATCTCTGCTTACCTTTCCAGTGCTGAAGACATCATTGTAAAAGTGCCAGGCAGCCAGCTAACAACAGAGTATTTGGAAGAAAATGGCTTTGCAGAGCCCATCCTGGTCCCCAAGAAGGATGGCCTGGGCTTGTCTGTACCTGCACCCACCTTCTACGTCAGCGACGTTGAAAACTACGTTGGTGGGTATCTAGCAAGCAGGTGGCACTGCACTGCTTGGAGCTCAGCTGCTTCATGAAAACTAAGTAATTGTTTGTATTGGAAAATGCAAAAAATTATGTAAAATATTGTCTATGTCTTGAGTTATGCTGACTTCAGTATCTGTTATATAACGGTAGCTTGTAATTGGCAATTAATCACTCTTGTTTCTTGTACCAACATGTATATCTTGAGTGAGCCTGAACCAGAGTGCATTGTACTTCGTAGCACTGCATTAAAATAGATTAATACCCCAAAAATGCTGCTTCAGGCCAGGGCTCATTGATGACTGCCATCTCAGCCTACTGAAGGAATTACTAGACTGAGACTTCTGCTCTGGAGAGGCAGTGTGTTTTTTAACACTGCTGTCAGTCTGAGCTATTTTCATTGCTGCTGGTAATTTGGGTTCATTTTGGCATCCTTCTGTCCCTAACCTAGGCAGGGTGTTGCACTGCATCTTCTTACAAGTCATCACGTCATCCCACCTTGGAAGGCACGCCTTGGCCAGGAGCCATGGAAGTGCTCTGAAGTCACTTGTCTTGTTTCCTTATCTTTCTTCCTATGTGATCTTGTCTCTTAACCTCTCTCCCTCCATCCTTCTGAGTTGCTTTCTGACCAACTCTTTATCCTTCTAGCATTCTGGAAAGTCATCATCCTGTTGGAGCCATAACTCCATCTCCAATCTGTCTGTCTGTGTTTTGTGGTCCCTCTATCTCCTGGTACAGTCTGCTAACCACCACCTCCTCATGCATTCTCCAGACCATGGCCACGTTCCCAAAATGGAGGCTGCTATCATCAGTCACTGGTGTTCGTGACTGTATCTATTGCTTTTGCAGTGATTGTGTGCAGTGAGATAACGATGAATAAAGGAGAATTCAAGACCCCTGATTTTATTGTTCTCTCTGTCCTGTTGCTTCTACAGGAAACATACTTTCCTTGCCCATCTGCTACAGTTAGCAGATTTTCTTGTATGATCTAGGTGCTCCTTATGCATCTGCTGGCTTTCACTCAGCCTCTAGCTGAAATAATCCGCCCAGCCAACAAAACTGTGAGGAAAAGCTGGAGGGAACAACATGAGTTGGATAATCCGGAGCTAGCACTAGATTTGAAAGAGAACAGAACAAACAGGTGCTGGTGTCATCTCCATGGGGTTAGTTCACTTGTATGAGATTTCCCAGGCAGGGATTTATATCACTGTGTGGTGGTTTGTTATATCGGACCTAAAATGTCTTTTAGAAACAATCTAAAGTAAGTAGCAGAGGACAAAACACCATAACCAAGACTGCCAAATACATCATTGCTGTGCTGGAATTTAATGAAAAAACAAATGTGTTTTTTTCCCTTTCCTAATTTGAAAAAAAAAAAAAAAAGCTATGAATGAAATGTAATGTTGGGAGAGGAAATTAAAATTAAATTGAATTAAAATTGAAGGGAAGACAAGATTGGAGAGATACAGAAAGGATAAGAGAGTTTGCTTAGAAATGCACATTCCTCAGAAAGCTCTGACTTTCTCTGTGTGTTCTCTGGTGTGCCCAGTAATAAATTCCGCTAATAGAATATTGCTGTTAACACTGGAGATTTATATCCACTTTTAGAAACAATCTAAAGTAAGTAGCAGAGGACAAAACACCATAACCAAGACTGCCAAATACATCATTGCTGTGCTGGAATTTAATGAAAAAACAAATGTGTTTTTTTCCCTTTCCTAATTTGAAAAAAAAAAAAAAAAGCTATGAATGAAATGTTGGGAGAGGAAATTAAAATTAAATTGAATTAAAATTGAAGGGAAGACAAGATTGGAGAGATACAGAAAGGATAAGAGAGTTTGCTTAGAAATGCACATTCCTCAGAAAGCTCTGACTTTCTCTGTGTGTTCTCTGGTGTGCCCAGTAATAAATTCCGCTAATAGAATATTGCTGTTAACACTGGAGATTTATATCCAACCAGGTCTGTCAGAGGCAATGTATAAGTACAAGTAGCTTATACTCTGTACTCTAGTAGACAGGGGATGGATTTTTGATAGGTGTAATTTTGGGTAAAATAACAAAAAGTCTTTTTTTTTTTTTGGTGGCACATCTGAAATGGCATGTTAAATAATGGGAATTTTCCTAAAAAACTCTTCCTCGATTATAGATTTCATAAGCAAAAATTTAAAATAGAGCATAAGAGAACTTACAGGTTTGGAAAATCAGTTTGACAAGTTATCCTATAGCCCCTTGCAGTCTGTCTGTAATTACAAGACAGCACAGTGGAATGGGCTTACTCTGTGGATATACAGGTATTTGCATATAATTTTCACCACTCAAATAAAATCCATAATGAAATTAATAGATTCAAAATAAACATGAATCCTTTAAAGATTAAAACTGCAGAAATAATTATGTCAGGGGAATAAATACAAAAGCACCATTTCATACATATACATCTTATTTATATACGCATCTCTTATACATATGTGTTTATGTGTGTCCATGCATAAAGAGCAGGGAGGGTACAAAGGCTGAGAAGATCAGTGAAACAAAAGATTGAGATGTTCCTTGAGATGCTAGCTCACCCCCAAGCATGCAAAATGGGGCAAGTCAGGCTTCCTTTCCATCTCTCTTTTTCATTGGATTAATTTTTAGGACCAGAGAGGAGTGTGGATGTCACTGATGTCACCAAACAGAAAGACTGCAAGATGAAGCTCAAGGAGTTTGTGGATTACTACTACAGCACAAACAGGAAGAGGGTCCTCAATGTGACCAACCTGGAGTTTTCAGACACGAGGTAGGAGCCCAGCCTGCTGCTCCACAACATGTCCAGGAACCTGGTGGGGTTCGGGTTGGGGAGCTGGAACAGACTCTGCCTTCTCTGCTGCTCCCCTATTCAGGAAGTGCTGCTGTAACCTAGGGGCAGCAGTTCCTTGTTGCCTGGAGCCTCCATGACATTGTCATCCTTCTGTTGTAGCTGATACTTCCAGAGGGGAAGTGCAAGCGAAGGAAAATACTCCTTTAGATACCAACATTATGCAGAAGATGATTAATGTCAACATGAAAATAAAAAATGGTTTTGGGGAGCGTTCCATTTTAGCAAGAAGACTTCAAGTAACCTTCAAAAAGAAGGCTGATGAGTAATTACAAGCTCATTTTTTCTAAAGCCATTACCTTTTAGCCCCGAGGCTAGTGTTTTAGCAGTGCACAGCCATTTCTGCAGAAAGCATCTCCAGTAATTACAGGCTTCAAAGATTACTGGTATCTTCAGTTGAGATTTTTTTAGCTTTCTGCCATTATCCCAGAATAACAGGAGGTCTTTTATTCTGAAGGACCGCTGGAGCTGTCACTCACATGCTGCTAATTTAGACATTAACTAGCAAATATTTTATTTCTTAACATAGACAGTGACACTTTAATTGAATGCACAGCTCCATCTTTCGCTGCCATTTCAAATGGAGCTATTGTTATCAGTGTTTGACAGTGAGCATAAATAACAGATGGGAGCATATTATTTTATTTTGAAGTGCAGATACTCTTAGTGACATGATATTTCAGAGTGTCCAACACTGACCCTCCATCCCCTGCAAGTATTAGTCCAAATTTTGGACTACTTACGTATAAAATTTAGCACATTCTAGGAGGGAATACTTTTAATACCTATTTATCAGGCCACTGTGTCATTCTAGCTCTAATTTATTGTATATATTATAGATTCAATATAAAAATGCTATATAAATTATAGAGATACATAGATACAATAGGAATATATGCTCAATATAAATATTTTCATTTGTATAAAGTGCATAAATATCATATATGTTGTTTAAAAAATACATTCACATTATCAACCCAAACTAGACTTTTTCCTTCTTCTGAGCTTTTAATGTCAGTCTAAATAAAAAAGATCACTGGTTTACAGCATCAGATCAAGACTTATTTAGTGCTTAAGTATTAGAGTTATTGTAATTGAGACATTTAATACTAGGTTTAGCTTGCACATTTTAAAGATTTGCCAGAAATGCTGCAGAAGTGGCTCTGATAACAACTCCAGTGATAACTGAGCCTACAGAGCAAGAGGAAGTGGAAAAACACAAACAGCACATACTTGATCATAAATACTGCTCCTACAAGGAGTCAAAGGATTGTTGCGAAATCATCATACTTAAAGCGCCTTGACTATCAGTCTGGAAAGAGTTTTCACAGGTTTGTGAAGAGCAGTGCCACTGCCAGGAGCTGCCCCAGATTGCTGTGCAAGCACTGAAGTCACACTCTGCTCTTTGGTAGGTCAGGGTCCTTCTGCTCTTTTTTAAAGAAACACGTTTGTTTTCACTTCTCTCTGTAAAGGATGTCCAGTTTTGTAGAACCTCCAGATATAGTTAAGAAGTTGTCCTGGGTGGAAAACTACTGGCCTGATGATGCTCTTCTGGCTAAGCCGAAGGTAAACAAGTACTGCCTGATTTGTGTGAAGGACAGCTACACTGACTTCCACATAGATTCAGGAGGAGCTTCTGCCTGGTACCATGTGCTGAAGGTGAGAGCCCACTTTATTTTGGTGTCTCTAGTAATGAACTAAATCTTACAGGAAAAGACAGGTTTCATGTTTTTTTTCCTGTTGTATCTGTGCAGACTATGACACCAAGTTGGGCAGGAGTGTTGGTCTGCATGAGGACAGGGAGGCTCTACAGAGAGACCTGGATAGATTGGATGGTTGGGCTGATGTCAATGGTCTGGGCTTCAACAAGGCCAAGAGCAGGGCCCTGCTCTTGGGCCACAGCAACTGCAGGGAACGGTCCAGGCCTGGGGAAGTGTGGCTGGAAAGGGTCTGGCAGGAAAGGAGCTGGGGGTTCTCCTTGACCAGCAGCTGAACATGAGCCAGTGTGTGCCCAGGTGGCCAAGAAAGCCCATGGCATCCTGGTCTGTCTTAGAAATGGTGTGAGCAGCAGGAGCAGAGAGGTGATTGTCCCCCTGTGCTCAGCACTGGGGAGGCCACACCTGGAGTGTTGGGTCCAGTTTTGGGCACCTCAATTCAAGAGAGATCTCGAGGTGCTGGAGCAAGGACAGAGGAGGCAACGAAGCTGGGGAAGGGCCTGGAGAATCCATCTGATGAAGAACACTTGAGGGAGCTGGGAATGTTCCATGTGAGGAAGAGGAGGCTGAGGGGAGACCTCATCAGTCTCTATAAGCACCAGGAAGGTCATTGCAGAGAGGTTGGTGCTGGTCTCTTCTCACAGGTCATGAGCGACAGAACCAGAGGGAAGGGCTTCAAGCTGCAGCAGGGCAGGGTCAGACTGGACACCAGGAAAAGTTTGTTCCCAGCCAGAGTGGTCAGAGCCTGGAACAGGCTGCCCAGGGAGCCAGTGGAGTCACCATCCCTGGATGTGTTTAAGGGTCGTGTGTGCTGTAAGTGGATACACTCCTGTAAGAGGAAGCCACTTGGACTCTGGGATTTGTCTGTGTATTTTCACTGTATTTGGATTGAATATTTGTTTAGTGCATTCTGCACATATGTTTCCTGAGACCTAAAAGATACTTCCACCTGCTTTTGCAGGGCAGTGGAATCTGACACTCTCAACTTCTTGCCCACAGATCTGAGCAAATGTAGTCAACTAGAGATTAAATTGTTTCAGCCATCCTGTACAAAGCTGACAAGTGAATTTTATTTCAGCTTGTTTTGGCTGCTTGTTGTTAATTTTCTATTTTCTACTTCAGGGAGAGAAGATCTTTTATCTCATCAAACCAGCCTCTGCAAATCTTTCTCTTTATGAACGCTGGCAATCGGCAGCAAACCACAGTGAGATGTTCTTTGCGGACCAAGTAGATAAATGTTATAAATGCACAGTCAAACAAGGACAGACCCTCTTCATTCCATCAGGTGAGTGGGTTCTTCCAGGAGAGGTTTTTCTGCTCCTTTTAGAGCTGCTGAAACAGCATGTTCAAAATGCTAGAGGGACTTGACCACTTTCTCTGACAAAATATGAAGTCTATTCTCAGTAGAATTTTTAGTAGAATTTAATGTATAATGTAAGTGTGCTTACCAAAAAATACCAGAACTTTTACTGCTTTCTGTCAATATTTTATCAGTCTGTAAAAAATACAGCAAGTAGGTAAAGTGTTCCACTTTTGGTCTACCTGGTTTGCAGTAATTCGTGAGTTCTCAGTCTCTGAGAGAACACATAGGTGCTTTTTGCCAACAGAATTCATGGAGAATTACTTGCTGACCATGACTATCCATAAAATCCTTTTCATGGTCCTAGATTCCCTGTAAGTCTAAGAAACTGTAGGTACCTGCATGAGTGTGAGTGTGCATTTATGGTTTCACATGAGGCAGAAGACCTGTCACTGATTTTTATGGGTTATTTGATGGACTCAGGCTTTCACTGCAGGTTAGAGATGGTGGTTTTTATTCTTCTCAGTTCTTGGAAGCATCTCCATAAAGATAGGGAATTGATCAGCAGATAGTGCAGAGTTTTAAGTGAACACAGTTCTACTCCTGCCCCTGTCCCTTACCTTCTCACCATGACCAGTTATTTCTTCATTTGCACGGCTGTTTACAGCACTCCCTGTTGCCTATTGAAGCTGTAATGTCTTTGGGACTGGGACTTTCTCTCCCTCTACATGCTTTTAAACGATGCACTGCCCACTCAGTCCACAGTCTGAGTTGAGGCCTCCAGGTGGTGTGAGGAACTAGCAGCACCAGTACCTGTGTTTCCAGTGGTGCTCTTTTCCTGTGTGTGAGTATATTCTTGCACAGAATGTTTACACACTTGAATTTTACTTTGACTGCAAAAAGTGGAAAGTAGGTATTTTTCTATGTGTGGGTAGGTAATTCTCATATGTGGCCATATGTGGAGCAGATGGTGGAATAAACCCCCAGCAATTTATAGCGATTCACTAATTTAAGTAGATTTTTGTATGGAAATAAGTGTTTTCAAAACACCTGTTCCTGACACTACAAGAAAGTCGGTGTCAGCAGCTGTCAAATTTTTATGGTGATGTGAGAGCAGCTATCATTATGTAGCTGCTGCTGCTTTTCACAGTAACAAGAAAGCAATATTAATGTGAGCAGTGTGTCCGCTGCCACTGCCTGCCACAATCAAAGGTATCAGTCAAGGGTATGCTGCACCTTCCTGGGCTGGCCTATTATTGTGCCAAACAAACAAGGGACCAGATGCAGTTTTGTTCAAAATGTATGTGGTTCTGGTGCTGACTTGGGCTGGAGAAGCTGGATTGGTATCTAGGAAATGAGTTGCTAAGTAAAATATAAACATTGTGAATAAAGTCTTTGTGATTCCAGTTTTTTATCCTCGGGACTCTTTTCTTTCTCTTGTAGGTTGGATTTATGCAACTCTAACACCTGTAGACTGCCTGGCCTTTGCAGGACATTTTCTACACAGTCTAAGTGTTGAAATGCAGATGAGGTAATCTGTTTTCAAAATCTAAAATTAGGTAGAGGTAGGCTTTGTTATAAATTGGCCGTCCTCTCTCCTATTAATTAGCTTACGTTTGCAGTAACATTGATGTAGCTCCACTGGGCAGTTTTGGAAGGTGTGCCCACGTTTGTCCTCTTCCTCTGTGTTCTCCAGTGCTGAGTTACTCCAAGCTGCCTTTGCCCCTGTTGCACAGCACAGGGCAGGGCACAGGAGGAACTTGGATTGGTCTGTCCAAGTCCTCAGGGAAGAACTATGAAAGCCTGTAGGGGCTGTATTCTGGAATGTGCCATCTGCCTTCTGGATAAGCCCTCACCTGCTCAGCTGGCCTCTTTCCCCAGTGTGAGAAAATACAAGTAGTTATTTATGGATGCTGGGAAAACTACACGACAGAACTATCTTACATCTGTATCACACAGGTTCTTGGTAGTGTTGTGGTTGTTTTTTCCCTTTGGTCTGATGCCAGAATATGTGGTAGCAGCAAAATCAACCTCATGCATTTATCAGTCATGGTTGTCACTGTGTGACCTGCTGTGCTTTAGAGTCCTGTGGCTTTGTATTGCAGGGCCTACGAAGTAGAGAGACGATTGAAAATTGTCAGTCTGACCCAGTTCCCAAACTTCGAAACCGCATGTTGGTACATGGGAAGGCATCTACTAGAGACATTCAAAGGTAAAACTGCATTTCTTTGCCTGCCTTAATTGCTTAGTTTTGGGGGCTTGAAGGTAGTGATTCTGAATTTCTGCTACTGTGTGACAGAGAAGATGGACAAATCAGTTGTGTTAGTATTTGAAAATTAATTGTAACCTGCCAGCAAGACATGCTGGTCTGGCCCAGCTCTCTCTTGAACATCCTGCTCTCTTACTCTGGGGAGAACCTCAACTGTCCATTTCACCTGTGCCAAAGGGAAAGTTTCATCTTCTTTATAACATATATTTAAGTTGCCCCAGTGGCAGATGATGTTGAAACATTTTTGATTTTTAGTTTTTAGTTGCCTGTCAAGTCTTGATTCATCCCCCCTGCATTACCTAATGAGCTACACACTCTGACAGCCTGAGGCACAGAGTAGCACTTTAGCACTTCCCTCTCCCATCATTCTGTTGATCCTGGTTGGAAGTACATGGGCAGGTCACATATACAGGGGGCCACAGGAATACCAGAGATGTGGCCAGCAGGACCACTGAGAATTACAGCAAATTCAAAACATTCCAAATCAGATTCCTTCAGAGTTGATTCAAGCATTCATATGTGTATGTTCTTTACAGATTCAGTCTCTTTGCTCTTTGCATCTGTTTCTCTTTTTACAGAACGTGTCTAGAGACACCCATCAGATTCTTTCATAATGAGAAAATGTGTCTAATTATTAGACAAGGTGAGGGGTCCCTCTGAGTGTCTCCTGGAAGGGGGCATCTTGGAACTGACTCTCAAGAAATACTGGAAGTTTTTCCAGTTTAGGGAAGGGGAGAATTTCAGGCAAGCTTGTACTCATGGAGAGGTGAAATGCTTTCCCCAGTACAGGCTTTGCTTCCACATGTCAGTTGCTTTTTCAGTTAGAATAAAAGAACCACTGACAGTACCTTTTTATTCCCACAGCCTAGGATGTAGGCTGTATTCTGGAATGTGCCATCTGCCTTCTGGATAAGCCCTCACCTGCTCAGCTGGCCTCTTTCCCCAGTGTGAGAAAATACAAGTAGTTATTTATGGATGCTGGGAAAACTACACGACAGAACTATCTTACATCTGTATCACACAGGTTCTTGGTAGTGTTGTGGTTGTTTTTTCCCTTTGGTCTGATGCCAGAATATGTGGTAGCAGCAAAATCAACCTCATGCATTTATCAGTCATGGTTGTCACTGTGTGACCTGCTGTGCTTTAGAGTCCTGTGGCTTTGTATTGCAGGGCCTATGAAGTAGAGAGACGGTTGAAAATTGTCAGTCTGACCCAGTTCCCAAACTTCGAAACCGCATGTTGGTACATGGGAAGGCATCTACTAGAGACATTCAAAGGTAAAACTGCATTTCTTTGCCTGCCTTAATTGCTTAGTTTTGGGGGCTTGAAGGTAGTGATTCTGAATTTCTGCTACTGTGTGACAGAGAAGATGGACAGATGGCCCAAATCAGTTGTGTTAGTATTTGAAAATTAATTGTAACCTGCCAGCAAGACATGCTGGTCTGGCCCAGCTCTCTCTTGAACATCCTGCTCTCTTACTCTGGGGAGAACCTCAACTGTCCATTTCACCTGTGCCAAAGGGAAAGTTTCATCTTCTTTATAACATATATTTAAGTTGCCCCAGTGGCAGATGATGTTGAAACATTTTTGATTTTTAGTTTTTAGTTGCCTGTCAAGTCTTGATTCATCCCCCCTGCATTACCTAATGAGCTACACACTCTGACAGCCTGAGGCACAGAGTAGCACTTTAGCACTTCCCTCTCCCATCATTCTGTTGATCCTGGTTGGAAGTACATGGGCAGGTCACATATACAGGGGGCCACAGGAATACCAGAGATGTGGCCAGCAGGACCACTGAGAATTACAGCAAATTCAAAACATTCCAAATCAGATTCCTTCAGAGTTGATTCAAGCATTCATATGTGTATGTTCTTTACAGATTCAGTCTCTTTGCTCTTTGCATCTGTTTCTCTTTTTACAGAACGTGTCTAGAGACACCCATCAGATTCTTTCATAATGAGAAAATGTGTCTAATTATTAGACAAGGTGAGGGGTCCCTCTGAGTGTCTCCTGGAAGGGGGCATCTTGGAACTGACTCTCAAGAAATACTGGAAGTTTTTCCAGTTTAGGGAAGGGGAGAATTTCAGGCAAGCTTGTACTCATGGAGAGGTGAAATGCTTTCCCCAGTACAGGCTTTGCTTCCACATGTCAGTTGCTTTTTCAGTTAGAATAAAAGAACCACTGACAGTACCTTTTTATTCCCACAGCCTAGGATGTATGAACATGGAAGCTAGTTTAGGACTGGGACCAATAAAGGAACCAGCATGTTTGCCAGTGTAGACATAACTGACATTGGAGGAAGGCTGAGTTGGATTTACGACACAGTAAATATACTCCTTATATTACCATCCAGCTATAATAGGGACAAATTTGGGCTCACCAACTTTCAAAGAGTTAACTTTCACAGTTGATTTTTTTTCACATTAAAGACTTCCTTTAAAATAGGTTCAGCTAGCAGTGTTTGAATGGCACTGGTTTATTTCTTCTACTTAGGTTTGCATAAAGCCGGGCAACAACCTCCCGCTCATTTACTCCAAGGAGCAAAAATTCTCAACGGTGCTTTCAGGTCGTGGACTAAAAAACAGGTAGGAGTAGAAGCCTGTTTTAATATTGTGTTTTCCTTAGGTTTGTCAGTCACTGGAACACAGAGCAAATGCTAGAAAATATAGTATCTGCATAGCAAAACAGCTAATTCTAAAATTCCCAAGAGAAAGATGGAGTGGGAGACTGGAGAAGGAGGGCAAGAGCTAGGATTTCATGGTGCCACATGAGGAGTCAGCAGAAAAAAGGTATCACTGGAGTTTAAAAAAGTCAGTTCTGCACACACACAGCCAAAAGGATACTGAATGAATGTTTCCCTGACTGAGCATTTTCATGTGCCAAATGAATGAAGCACAGGCAGGGTATGCAAGGGAGGCCCTAGAACAACAACTGCATTTTTGTATGCCCAGTTCAAGCAAATCAACACGTGAATTGAGCCAGGAAATAGATACTGGTTGGAGAGAAGGCTTAGAGGAATTTGCAGCCTAAATTTCCTGCTGCAGGCATTTCAGAAGTGTTGTTCTTGTGTGTGTTGCTCCTAAAGTTGTGGGGAATTAGCTGCAGGAGACAGCCATTCAGCCATAAAATGTGAACAGGGGAACTAGCAGCTTTAGGATTTTCAGACATTTTAAGAAGGGATGAGCACACAGCCTTGCATTGTTAGGTCAGCTGGGTGGCTGTTCCACATTTAAATGTACTCAGGCACTTGGCTGCTCCCTACTGCAAACAGCCAGTGCTTGAGCCTGGATTCAGGATTGCTCCCTGTTTTCCTGCAGAAGGACTGGCTGATGGGGAAGCCCTATGGGGAAGCTCTCTTCTCCATGTCACCCTGTTCATTTTTCCACTTGCCATGCAGATGAGAAGTAGTGAGACAAAGGAAGTGGGACTGTGCTGGCGTTTAGGTAAAGTTGAACTTAGAGAACTATAACATGACATGTGAATGCAAATGTTGTTAGTCCTGTCAGTGAGCTCCCAAACCCCTCTCCTGACAAGGTAGGTGCTTATTTTATTAATTGCATACACCAGCCTAAAACTCTCTCCTTGTAGATGTAGAAAAGGAATTTCTCACAGAATGTCATAGAAGGGGTTGAGCAAAATGATGTTACATTTGTGAAAATGCAGTAATACCTGAAAAAAAGACTATTGACTTTGTTCTCTCAGGACAACTATTTACCATAACATCCAGAAGGGAAAAAAAGTACCTTTTCTCCTGATTTGATTACTGATACAGTCAGTATTGATGTCAGTACACAGGAAAAATATGGACATGGCACTAAATTAGATTTTTTAATATATTTTTTTTAAAAAAAGCATGCACAGAAATAGCAGTCTGGCTTTGTTGTGTTTTAGGCTTTAGCAGAACATGAAGATGAACTACCAGAAAACTTCAAACCAGCACAACTTATCAAGGACCTTGCCAAAGAAATAAGATTAAGTGAGGTTTGTGCTCTTTTCATAACATTAACTATATTGTGGGTCTTTTAAAAATCTAGGCTATAAAATGGATGACTTGAAATACATGAACCTTTTTCCCACTCTCTCTATTAAAAGAATTCATGTGAGGTTTTGCAGCAGGGTGACCACTCAGGACTCTTGTCTGTGGCTGACTTCTCACGTGTTCTCCTGTTTGCTCTCTCATCTCTACACTGTGTCTGCCTGTCCTGTCCTACATCCTCTCTCCTCCACCTTCTCCTGGCTGAACTGGCCACACTCCCCTCTCCATCCTTATTTTCTCTTTCATTTTAGCTTCTCCCTATCAAAAAATATGATAGAATTCAAACAACACTGTTGCTATCCTTGTGATCATGCTTTCTGTGTGGTATCTCCTTTTCCTTATGTTCACTGGTCTTGTCTATGACACTGTCTGAGCTTGGGACTAATATTCTACACATTGTTCTTCCAAGAGGAAGCCTTGTTCTTGTCTGGTTTCTAGACAGAGTTACTATAGCAAATGTGATAATAATTGTAACACACAAACATCCCCCCCAGAAAGCCCCAACCAAACCAACAAAAAACACCCCTGCCCCGCCCCCCCAAAAAAAAGGAGGTTATATGAGGTATCATGCATTAAGTCTGGTGTACTGTTTCACTTACTGGAGATGTGAGCAAGTTGTTTTAAGAAAACATTGTGTTACATTCTACCCCCTTTCTAACTATATCCAGTGACCTCAAGACTGAAATCTATCTTGTCCTTTTATCCTCTTTGATGTAGTATATAAGTTTTCTGTCAGAATGGCAAGTTAAGCAGAAAATAATTTCTTTTTAATTAGTGAGACAGTGTAAATTTTAATTGGGCAGCTATTTTACTGCTTGTTTGTCCTGAGGGCATGAAATACGATTCTATTACATTTCCCACATCTGAATCAAATGGTTTGTGCTCAAGCTGAGTAGCATTTTAAAGAAAGATCATTCCTTTTGTACCCTGGCTTGGGGGGGCCCCTTTCACGGTCCTACCTGATGATACAACCTGCTGACAGTTACATTCCAGATGAAGCCACTGGAGTTTCTCCAGGTGAAACTTGAGCAAGATGGGGATGGAATTAGAGGTGAGCAGAGAGTTGCTGTGGCATGTGGTGCCTTAATTCCCTGGCCAGCCTGACCCATCAATGCAGTTACCTGTTCTGAAAGGGAGATGTTTGGGGTTTGTTTGCTCAGGGAAAGGAGGATGCAGGGGCATGTCTGACCTAAGACAGGTGGGTCTGAATGCTGAATGCTCTTTTGTGCTGAACTGCAGAATGCTTCAAAAGCCAGCAAAGCAGATGTGAGTGCCAACACAAATGCTGAGGAGATCTGTCCTGTGGAGAAGGAGGAGGCACCATCACCTGTCCAAGTGACGCCTCCACCCCCACCTGTTGAAAAGCTCCCTAAAAAAAAGACTCCCAAGACTGTGAAAACCCCCAAACAACTCAAGCCATCCAAACCCCCCAAACCTCCCAAGCCACCCAAGCCCCCTAAACCTCCCAAAACACCCAAAGTTAAGGGAGAAGGCAAAAAGAAAGGAAAGAAGGTGAAAGAGAGCCCACCACCAGCCATCCCCAACCTCGACTTGCTGGAGGCACACACCAAGGAGGCTTTGACCAAGATCGAGACACCAAAGAAGGGGAAGGTGGGTGATATTTTAACCTCTCTCTGTCCTCTCTCCATAGTGGGAATAAACTTACTCCTGAGCTCTCATGAACAAAATAATTTAAGCAACACAGTGTAAAGCCCTGTCTTCACTGACGGAAATAAACATTTTGTAAATGCCCTTTTTTTGTCAATGCCTGATAATTTGATTTGACTCTTTAATTGGTTATTCGTTTGATGCGAAGCCTCCAGGAAAGCTATTGATTCACTGGCAAACTGCCAGTCACCTGTCCAAACTGAGGCCAGATGAAAATTAAAAGACCTTTTAAAATGGTGCTGCTCTTTTTGCTCCTTTAACTATTAGATTCTTATTTCAAATATTATCAGTGCCCTTGTGTACATTTCCATAATCAGTTCTCGAAGACAAAGGAACTAATTTATAAAGCCTCTTATTTGCATGAGATTTTGATCTGGAATGAGTGATGATGTTAAAACAATAGTTTGCTTCCATTTTTGCCCATGTAGGATGAGTTTCAATTTGATGTCCTACAATTCAACATGAGTTTTGCTGCTGACTTCAGCAGGGGCCAGGATTTCTCTGAGGCACTGACAGAGTCATGTATTGTCCACTGGTGGTTAAGAAGTATCCATAAGTCTTTGAAAATCCTTCTGGATTTCCTCGGAGTTTGTTTGCTTTTTGTGAAACCCATCCACAGAGTAATAGGCAGGGATATTAGCATGTTTTTATAGTAATCTTGTATATTGGTGTATCAAGGAGAAATGCAACTAATCTTCTGCATTCTCTGAAGCAGCAATGTTTGAATCTCATATTTGACTTGAAAAATAATCAATCAAAGAGGAGTTTTCAAAAATACGTTATATTCCAGATAAAAAATGTGTTTCTTGAACATGCCAGCACTCCATCCTCATTCAGAGTACATGCTGACTTTTTCCCCAGGCTGCAAAGAATGTTTTAAGTGTTCCAAATAAGGAAACTACTAGTAAGCAGAATGAGGTGGAGAAATTTGAAGTACGAGAGCAAAATAAAAGCAAAACGGAAGCCAAATGGAAATACAAGGTAATCTCTTCTGTTAAATTCCAGTACCTGAAGGGCCTACAGGAAAGCTGGGGAGGATTTGTAGTGAGAGGACAAGGGGTAATGGTTTTAAAGTGAAAGAGGAGAGATTTATGCTAGAGATCAGGAGGAAATTCTTTAGTGTGAGGGTGGTGAGAGCCTGGCCCAGGTTGCCCAGGGAAGCTGTGGCTGCCCCATCCCTGGCAGTGTTGAAGGGCAGGTTGGATGGGGCTTGGAGCAGCCTGGGCTGGTGGGAGGTGCCCCCGGCCAGGCAGGGAGGTTGGGACTGGATGGGCTTTAAGATCCCTTCTAACTCTAACCATTCTATGATTCCATGAAATTCTGCTGCTGATTCTGCCACAAAGTGATAAGTCAAGGGTGGAGAAATGTTTGTAGGTCTACCTAAGCAGAGAACACAAACCACCAATTTTCAGCTCTGAACAAAAAGATTTTGAGCAGAAAACATCAAGGAGATGTGTGTGGGCTTTTTTAAACACCTGTCAAAATGTCCATCCTCATTCTTGGTAAAACCATTGACAACACTGTTACCAGTGAGATTTTTCAGGTCTGATCTCATTTGTGATTCTTTCTTTAATACTGTTGTTCTACTTGAAGCCTGGGATATTCCAGAGAAACCAATAATTAACGATGGCATAAAAGTAGAGTTAATGAAATCTGAATTATGCCACATGAATTAAAAACTTGCCTTCCTGAAGGGCTATTGTAGGGTGAGTAAAATTCAGTCATGGAAGAATACATTTTTTCTCCAGGTACCATTTAAAAGAAGGAGACACGAGGCTTTCTCACAGAAATAACTGTCTCAATTTTGCCTGCTTGGTGAACTTCTAATGCCAAAGGTGCAAACAAATTCCCCAGAACAAAACAAAAGTACAGATCATTAACATTACAGACATCTAAATTTTTTATGTGTTAAAAACAATCACAGTTAATGTGATTAGATCAATATGTACCACTTAATTCTGCAGCCAGGACAGCTAAGGAAAGAGATATAATTGTCTCTGCATGTAGACCAATGGCTTTCTGAAGTTACCTACAAATCTGAACTATCAACAACTCATTCACCTCATTTTATTGTTTTGTTTTGGGTCTTTTTTGCCTTCCAGAACAGTAAGCCTGATTCACTTCTAAAAATGGAAGAGGAACACAAATCAGAAAAGATGCCATTATCAGGAAATAAGGACAATAAATTTATGTTCTCCTTCTCTAATAAGAAGTTGCTTGGGTAAGTAAACATGATAACAATACACATCAAATTAAAAAAGCGTATTAAAGATCTTATCATTATTCCTGTTTTTTTTTTTTAGAAGAAGAAGGTGAAAATCTACCTTTCTGATCAATGTAGAAAATACATTTATGCATAAAATGTCTTTGCTGTAGGACTTGATTTTACCTAGAAGCTAGCACAGGTGGCTGTGAGGCTGGTAGTTTGCTTGAGAGGAATGTCTTCAGTATTCAGGAAGCACCTCATGCTTTGGCACTTCAGGTTCTTGTAGTCGAGTTACATTAAGTAAATTTTGTGCAGATCCTGCTCAGAATATATATAAGAACTCCTTATGTGAACTCCTTATGTGAACCTTAAGTGAACTCCTTATGGCAAGATTCCACGCTGCCTGTGCATGATGCATATCATGATCTATTCTGAGACAACTTTAAATAACAGAATGCTTATTTGAAGCTACCTAAGGCTGCTCTAGTTGGCATCATATTTGGAGATATAAATTGTATATATAATTATACCTATAACTGTGTATATATATATAGCAAATAACAATAACAATAATTTTCCTCCTCTTTTTCCTTCTTAATTTTAATAATTAATTTATTGTTTATTATTAGATTATTATTATTACTATTTGATTATGATTGTGGTTATCATGATTGCTGTGGCACGTTGAAGGTATTCAAATTGACTGAGAGTTCTCCATAAAGACACTCATTGTCTTCCTCTGTGTCAATTTGCAAAATTATTTGTAATTTCCTCTTTTTGCAGTTCAAAAGGAGTCAAAACCCAACTGAACACTAGTGTGTTTGGGTCACTGCAGAATTTTAAAGAAGAGAAAGCAAAGCCTATACGAGATGAATATGAGTATGTCTCAGATGATGGTGAACTAAAAATTGATGAGTTTCCAATCAGAAGGAAGAAAAACACTACAAAAAGAGAATTGCCCTGTAAGAATATTTCCTGTTTTGTCTGTATGTGCATAAAAAGTCTTACACGTTGGTTGTCTACATGTAGCCCTTGAAATATATGTCATTTAATAATAAAGAAATCCACGTCTTACCTGTCAGTCAGATGTAAGTGGGTTTTAATTGCTTTAGAAGTTGTGGCTTAGGAGCATTGTTTTTTGAAAGGAAAAGAATCTTGACACTTTTTGTTTTGATTCGATTTTTGTTGTTGTTTTGTTTTCTTAATTCAGTTTTATCAGATAAAAAGGACACCCTGCAGCACACTCCTGTTAAGAAGCCAAAGGTGGAGCCGGTGTCGTACAAGGTGAGTTCTTAGGCTGCCTCCCCCAGGCAGGCACCCCCAGCAGGGCACTACTGCCATGGCAGTGGCAAAACCTTCTCCTGGGCTCTTGTCACCTCTTCTCCTTCCTCCTGCAGCCACAGCCTGCCCAGCACAGGCAGCATTCAGATCTTGCCAGGACTAAGCAGAATTTGCATGCCCAGGACTGGTGGGAAGTGTGCGTGGGGACAGTGACAGCTATACCGCAGCACAATAACAGCAGGCCCTAATGGTGATAGGGAAGGATCAGGAGTTTCCTGTCATAGCTGACCTGATGTTCCTTGCTGTCAGGTGCAGGGGTGTGTCCCAGGCTCTGGCTGTCCCTTGAGCAGTGGTCATTACATTTCTCTGTTCTTGTTTGACAGATGAAACTCAGGGTAATGCTGGTGCAACTGAACTCACATCATTTGACATTTCACATTACTAGAAGCCCTTAATACCTATTTATGTAGCAATTACATGTTTTGTTTGCTGTCACTTAGCACAGTCTCCCTCTACCCATTATGGGCTGACATCTAGAGTGCCCTTGGCTCAGCCTGACACCTTTAGCATGTCCCTGACCTGGGGCAGTGTCAGTGTGCCTTTACCTTCAGGAACCTGAACAGCACAGCCCTAAGTTTGCTTTTATTTTTGTTAGCATGGAGGGTCCATGCTGGGCATTAAATTACATTAAATGACCTTAAAATTAAGTGTTTTGTGCAACAAAATCATGTTGCAAAATCTGAAAGAGTCAGAAAAGGCAAAATAGCTTGTTAACACAGAGCTGCAGGTGACTGAAGTGTTTGGCCCACAGAACTAAGGAATCTTTTTTCATGCTGGTTTGGCTCATGGATATTCAAGAGCAAGTGCAGATCGCCTTGCATCAGTCAGTAGTTGACATCTGGAGACCCATGCACCGGGAACAGGGAAGAACAAGCTGATATCTTCATGTGCAGCAGCTTTAGGAGGGGGGGAGCTCCCAGTGAGGACAGCGATTGGTAGTCCAAGCAATAAGGACTGGGATTTTAGAGACCTGAAAGCAGGGCAGGAATGGGGGAAAAAGAGCCCTCTGTTATACTCTAGACTACAGTACACAGAGATACTAGCCCCAGAAAGACAAGTGTAGGTAGCACCCTTCATGTGCTGCTGTTTATATGTCTATCCCACTCCTCTGCCAGATCCTCCTGCCCTCCCAGAGTAGGGAAGGCAGAAGTGGGTCTGTTTCTGTGTCTGAATTGGCTGTGTCAAAAGCCCTGAAGATGCAGACCTGTGTCCTGATGCATATCTGGGCTGACAGGTGACCACACAGTCACTTCTTTTGCTACATGGGTCTGAAGAACAGGAGCAGGGGCTGAGAAGGCAACACAGCACCTGGAAACACCACTGATGCCGTGGTTTGATCCCACATGCAGATCAGCTCTCAAAGTTGGTTCTCGAGTGTTAGAAGCAGAAAGAAAAACCTACCATGCCTACAGGCTGCAAGGAAACCTTTTTTTTTACTGTCTACCTGGTTTTGCTTTTTGTTTTGGGGGCTTTTTCTTTGTTTGCTTGTTTTTCTTTAATAAAACCAAATTATTTATGCCAACCTTGTGTTTTTGGAGGGGCAGCAAGCTGCAAAAATTATTGTGTTGTTCTTACTGACTAACTTAGTGAGTTTCTGGGGTTTTTTGAGCCATCTCCCTCTTTTTGCAGAGTGATGACTCGTCAGATGAAGATTTGCTTCACATTGACACAGAGGCAAAGCCAGGACGTAATTCCAAAGTAAAGAAAGAGAG